AGCTTGAATTTGCATATGAGTAGTTGGTGGTCTGTTCCACAATCAGCTCCTGACCTTGTTTTCACAGCTGATATCGAGCTTCTCCAGCGGTTCTTTCCACAGATGTAATCGATCTGATTCCTATGCATACCATCAGATGAAAACCAGGTTTATAACCTGCGTTTATGTCTCTTAAAAATGTACTTGCTATGATTAAGTCATTGATTGTGCAAAATTCGATCATTCTCTCTCCCGCTCCAAGGTTGAACAATTCCTTCCATCTTCTTGTGATGCCTCATGCATCATTTAACATTTTGCCTATAGAATCTTCAGGATACTATCCATACGCATACAAGGAATATCTATTAAAGCAACTATTATTTAAATATATGTATCTACCACTAAAGCCAAAGATGAAGAAATTGAGTTCTTCTACCAACTTCTGTCTTAAGAAATTGATTAAAAAGGAAATTGATCAAAGATCCAATCAAGATGCATTAATAATAATTGGTATCACTTCAGCAGTACATATTCTAAAATAAGAGCAGTAAAGAGAAGTTTAGCATAGCCCCTGTGCAAGGATGACAAGCAGATTCATGAAGAAGTTTATATTTAATAAAAAAGTAATAATACTTGGTGACTGGAATGCAAAAGTTAGAAACGAGGAAAACTGGTAGTAGAAAATATGGCCTTGGTGACAGAAATGAAGCTAGACACTGAATGATAGAATTTTGTACAATCAATTATTTATTTATTGCAAATGCCCATAGAAGCAGCAATGAAGAAATCAAGAACACTGGGCAAATCCACACCAAGGACCAAAGTGTTGAAGGGAAAGAATGTGATTTTAAGAACTAATGTGTGCCTGACCGAAGCCTCAGTATTTTTAATCATCTCAGTCATATGAAAGTTGGAACCGACAATATGGAGGACTAGAGAGAGTTCTGGTGGTCTGAGTGGTAAGGAGCTCCGCTGCCAACCCAAAGGCAGTTTGAAATGTGGATGTTTTCAAAGAATATGGACTATATTCAGAATATGGACTCTACCCCTGAACTGACAAAAGAACAAAGAAAGAAACCTGTCTTGGAAGAAATACAGCCTGAGTGGCCCTTACAGGTGAGGAATGCCAGGCTTTGTGTCTCCCTCTCCCAGCGTGTTATCATGGTCTGTGCCCTTGCTTGTTAGAGTCGAGGGTCAGTGATTAGGAGGAAATGCCGCCATGAGACCGAAGGACACCTTGCCGCAGTGTGTGGTGTGCAGGTGTGTGTGTGTGTGTGTGTGTGTGGCCAGGCCAAGGCAGTGTTGCCTTTTGTATTCCATGGAGTCACTCTGAGTCAGAGGACGCCAAATGGCACATGATTAACACAATAACATTTCAGTTTTTTGTTGAGTTTGTTTGGGGTTCCCCCTCCCCCAAAACCATGTCATAACTGGTGTCCTCCACAAGCTACTAGCTTCGGAATTCTATAAACTACTCCCCTCCCCTATTCTACAGGTGAGAGGAAACAGAGACTCAGGGAGAGGGAGGTATTTGCAAGAGGAACCCCAGTCAAGGTCCTGCTGCCCCCCCACCCCAGTTTGTCTCTCAGCTTCTGTCTTCACCTTTGTGTGTTCGCCCTGTGCTACCTGTGTGTGTTTCAGTCTTTTTCTCTACCTGGAATCAGACAAAGGCCGGCAGGAGAGAAGGGGGGAGGTCTTTCTCATTGCTTGATTTCCCCTTCTTCTCTCCCTAACGAGGAGAGGTCTTATTAATAGACCTCCTCCGGAACTGGGAGCAGAAACAAGCCAGCAGCGCACCCCATCCTGCACCTGCGCCCCTCCCCGCCGCTAGCCCCTCCCCGCCGTCTGGCCGGGGTTTCCGGGGGCGCCGACTAACCGGCAGTCCCAGGGGGCCTGGATGCCGTCAGTGCCCCCTTCGCGTGCAGATATAAGAAGCTGCCCCGCGGAGGAGCGGCCAGCCAGCGCTCGGGTCCTGCGAGCGCTCCAGACTCCCGGTACTTCAGAACCAAGGATTCAGGAACTCAGAACCAGGGTTCCCCGGCCTCACCCCGGAGCCCACGCCCATCAGGTAACTACATCCACCCCCACTCTCCTCCAAACAGCCTCCTGAGCCCTGCAAAGAGCGCGTTCTTCTCTCCACACTGGTCCAGCGCACTTCCCAGAGCCCAGCGAGCGCACAACAGACCGGGCGCTGCACGGGGACTCGGCCGAGTGGTCCCCCTGAGCCTGGACGGGACATCGGCTCCTGGCATTCTCCTCCCAGCCTCTGTGTGCTCGGGATGGGAGGGTCTCGGGGAGCCCTCGCTGGACCCCGCTATGCATCCCCGCAGAGCTGCTCAGCCTGCGCGTCAGCCCGCGCTCCAGCCTGCGAGTTAGAGAGCGAATCTTGACTCTGGAAGGAGAATTTCCTCGTTGAAACCCGAATCGAAGCTTTAGACATTTACTTTTAGGAAAAGAAAGAAAATCTTAGCGCTTAAATGAAGATCTTAGCGTGAGAATAGAGGCAATTGTGGCATCTGAACCAGGTGAGAATGGTGCCCGCGATTGGGCACTGGAGTTTCAGATGTTGAGATGGGGACCTTGGGGAGCATCTTAGCTTGTCACACGGTCTAAGAGCTTCCAGGCGATCGGAGCCACGCGCCACAGTCTTGATGGTGACACTTGGCGAGTGTGCCAGAGTGTTTGCCTTCCCGCCTCCCCCACCCCCAACTCCCGGGCTGGGGTCCCTGCGCCCTGTAACTCCCGACGCCCCTTTGGACGAGGACGCCTGAGGTGACAGGGGTGGAGCCACCCCACCCCCCAGAATAGATCCTGCCCCCTCCCGCTCCGCCCTGCCCTCACTAAGGCTTTGGTGGTCCCCGGCTTCCACGAGGAAGTCTGAGGGATGCTTCATTTGTTTTCAAGCAGCCGGACAACCCAACAGGTTGAGCGGTGAGGCGCGCTCACTCTCTTCCTTCCTCTGTCTCTCACCCCAGACGTCGCGATGCCTGGCCCTTGGTTGCTGCTCGGCTTGGCTTTGACCCTGACCAATGTCCCCAGCGGCCGCGCCCAGCCCGAGGTGGTCCAGCAGGAGGCGACCTTGCCCACCGCGCGCCCAAACCTGGAGGACCTGCTCCGCCAGGCCGAGCGCCTCCTCCTTCTCGGGGAAGAACTCCGTAGGCTGAGAGCGGACCCAGGTCAGCGTGAAGCAGGTGAGGAAGCCTCAATAGTCACTCATAGTCTTGCAAAAAGCCCTGAGCTCACCCGTTCTAAAGGGTAGAGCTAGATTCTTCCGTTCCTTGTTGTTGGGAATGTTTCCCAGAAGGCAGAAATTTAATGGGAGACATTTTGTTCATTCAAGAGTGTTTGTGTGTGACAGGTTTAATTACCACTTATAAGATGCTTAGATGCCAAGCAGTGTTCTAAGTATTCCCTTATCATATTATTTGCTCTGGCTAACAGTGTGTTCAAATCCACCACTGCTCCTTAGGAGAAAGGACAGGCAATGTCCTCCTGTGTGATTTTCAGCCTCTGATGAAAACTCTGACTGATGGCGCATAAAAATGATCTCTGAGACAGATGTTACTATTGTATCCCCTTTTACAAACAAAGTCCAAAGCTCAGGGTGGTTAGGTGAGGTTAAGTGAATTTCTTAAGCTCACACAGATGGCAATATGCATGTCCAAGAGGACCTGGAGGCCCTTGACCCTGGGTCTGTGCCTTCAGAAGTCTGTCCTAATGGGGAGGAAGGTGGGATTGGGCACTGGGTGGGGCCAGGGGATCTCTCATTGGCTTCTTCCTTTCCCTAGAACTCCTGACCCTTCAACATGACTGGCTCTCCAAGCGCCAGCATCCAGGTAAAAGAGAGGAAGAGACAGACGAGGGAGTTGAAGAGGAGGTTGAAGAAGAAGGGGAGACCATGGTGCCCCCAAAACGCCAGCACCCTGGTCGGCGAGAGGATGAGGCTCCTTGGTCAGTTGCCATAACCCAGTACAAGAGGCAGCACCCTGGCCGGCGCTCCCCCTGGCTCGGGTACACTGTCACCAAGAGGCAGCATCCAGGCAAAAGGCTGGTCGATCCCAAGGCCCAGAGGAGCAGAGAAGAGAAGGAGGAGGAGGAGAAGGAGGATGAGGAGGAGAGAGAGCTGACGCTTGAGAGACGCCAGCATCCGGGCAGGAGGGCCGTAGGAGGCCCCTGTGGGCCCTGGAGAACCTGCGACCAAGCAGCCTTCCTCCTTGGGCTCCTCGGTGACCTGAGCCAGGGACCTCAGGAAAAGCGGCAGCACCCTGGTCGGCGGGCAGCCTAGGCCGGCGTGCCCCTGGCAGAGTAAACCCAGTTCTCTCTAAAACCCAATTCAGGGCCTGAGAATGTCCCATGTCTGTGTGCCCTGCTCTTCACAATCCCCTTTCCTCCTTCACTTGAGTCATAAAGCTGACCCCCCCCCCGAATGTACACACCCTCAGACCCAAAGGGAGGCATAAAAGGCCACCCTATGAGTTTAAAGTCCCATTTACCCATAGTGGGCCACTGGCAGAGCTCTCCCCTCCCTACTGCACCTCTCAGGCTTTTCTGAGGCACCTCTCCTCAGTTCTGGCTTTTCTGTGTCTTCTAAGTTGTCCCCAAAGTGAAGTAGGGTCTGTCCCTGTGGGGCAAGTACACACAGTGAAGGATGGATGGGATGGGATGGGATGGGATGGGATGGGATGGGATGGGATGGGATGGGATAGGAGCCACGCAGGCCTAGTTTAGCTTCCATGCCCTGCCTCATATGGATAATTCATCACATGTAAGCCTCACCCCTGTGCCAGGATCTCCCTTCCTTCCAGGCTCCACGTCCATGTTCTGCTTGGGGGAAGCTTTTGGGGTAGACGTGCTGTGCTGTGTGGTGGCTGCAGGAAGAAATATGTGTACATAATTCTCTGGGCACCTTCCCCTTGTCAATGGTAATCATACTAAGGATAATAAACATGCATCAGAACCCCTTGGAGTTGCGTGGTGGGTCATCTGTCCCAGTTGGTGTCCTTGAGGTTTCTCTTTGCAACATTGAAAGGGATGTTTTAAAAGGGGCAAGACAAAAACTCTCCATTTCTGCAGAGTTGGGGGGATGAAAAATCCTCTCCACTGCCTCCATCTCCACCCTGCTCATGAGGCGGTCATTTGATCCCCAGGGGCACTAGACCTTGAGAAGAAGAGCTTGCACAAAGATGCAGCCTGGGGTCCCTGCATTGCTGTTTGTTGATTGGAGATGCCAGAGGGTTGATGTAGTGCTGTCAGTTGAGTGGTTCTAGGGAAGAAATAGACAGTTTTGCCTGTGTCACCTGAGAGATACAAAGATGATAAAGGACCAGGCTGTAGTTTAGGAGGTAAGAACATCACAATCATTTGCAAGTGAAGAAATGGGGTGTAGAGAAGTCAAGGCATCCCCCAGTAAGGGGGCACCCTATAGGTTCCTGCTCCCAAATTTGATGGGTACAGGGGATGCTGTTTCCTCCTCGGGTTGTCCACTTGAAGAGTAAGGACAACCCTCAACTGTCTAGTATTTTATTCTCTGCTCCTGGGATGCTCGCACCAGTGCACCATGATGGAAAGGGTCTGGGCACTGGCCTCCTGGAAATATAATCAAACCTGTATGAACCTCAGTCCTCTTGCAATAACCTTCCCCTTCCCCACTCTCCTCTGAGGATTATATGAAATGGAGTGGTGTGTATACAGCTCTCAGCACTGGGTAGATGTTTGGTTAGTGACATTTTAGGCTGTAGTGTTCTAGGACCAGAAGAGACTGAAAAGGGAGCCTTAGAGGCTCGTTTGCGTCTTCCTTGCTTCAATATCCAACCACAAGAACACGAACCAGTGATTGGAGCTTTGTGGCACATCCTTACCAGGCATTGGGGCTTCATCCTCAAATAGTCTCCATACTGCTCTTCTAAGATCTCCTTCCTTTTCCCTCGCTCACCTACATCTCCCAGGCTACCTTGCACATAGGGTGGAGTCACATGACTAGTCTTGACCAACCAGACCAGTGAACTGTGAGAAAAATATCACTTCTGGGCTGAGGCATTTAAAAACTGCTGCACCTCTTTCATCTTTCTTCCTCTTGTGGTTCTGCAGTGGGGGCTCTTGTAGCTTGGTGGTAAGAAGTTGTGCTGCCAACCTTTTGGTACATAGTTCAAATCCACCCGCCAGTCCTTGGGAGAAAGATGATCAATCTCCTATGTGATTTATTGCCTCTGAAAACCCACTGGAGGGTCAGATATGGAGGGTTCTAACTTGATGGAACATGACAATAATCAGTTAAGAAGGTAATTTTCTGAGATGGCAAAGTAGCATGATAATAAGAACGTGGACCAGGATAAAAGTTAGATGCTGCTCACCCACATAAAACTTCTCATGGGTAAAAAAAATAAACCTGTGTTATGTTAAGCAACTGGGAATTCGGAGTTTACTTGATACCACACAAAATCTTAGCCATTTTAGACTAATACAGATACTTTACCCCTGTTCTCTCTCCACTGAAATCCTTCTCGTATGTGTTAGCCTTCATCAATGCTGCCTACGCCAGTGCCTGGCACAAATTCAATAAATAATTACTATTGAAAGCTGCAGTTTCCTTCTATTTCCATTCTTCCAGACTGATTTTTCAGGGGTCCCTGCCCTAAGAGACCTTCCTATTCAGTGAAACACAGACAAGCAAACACATGAGGACCATTTTCGAGTGAGATGTGTTGATTGTGACAAAGAATGCAAGAGGGCCACAGATGAGGGAGAAACGCTGGCTGGGCAAACAAGACTTCCTGAAGAAGAGGAAAACCAAGCTGAGTCAAAGGGTAAAAAAGAGACATTGAAGACAGAAGTGAAGAACACCGACAAAGGTCTGGTGGAGAAAAAATAACATACTCTTGGAGTTTCTAACATTTAAAATCCAAAGTAGATTGCCCCTTGTTTCTTCCACCCAATCTTCTAACTGAGGAAGATGTGCCTTTTCTCTTGCCCAGGGTTACCTTCCTCCTGATATATCCCACCTGCAAGCAGGGACTCTAATTGCCTCGTCTTAGAAGGGAGAGCAGTTCAAGGTGAGATGAAATCAGGGAAACCTCTCTAAAGTCCGCCTGACCCAAGCCATGGTGTTTTCAGTTGTTTCATGTGCATGTGAAAGTTGGACAATGAATATGAGTGACTGAAGAAGAATCAATCCCTCTGAATTATGTTGTCTTGAAAGACAGGTAACCAGCGTGATCCTTAGAAGCAAGAATGATGAGACTTCCACTCACATACTTTGGGCATGTTATTAGAAAGAGTCCTTGGCTTCCGAGCTGTAGAACAACCCAGTGGTAGATGGAATTTGGTCCAGGACTTAAGAACAATAAATGACATAGTTGAGCCTCTACATCTTGTGGTTCCTAACCTTTATACTATAATAGACAAAGTTCTAGTCAATAAGCCTTTTCTTTTAAGAACTACCTTCCCTCTGTAACTTGATTTGTGCCAGTTAGAACCTCTACTTTGAATATTATTGCTCTTAATTTTTGAACCATGTATTTTTAACTTGTTAGTTAAATTTGTGTCTTCTAGGCTACAACAGTTCCATGATGCATCTTCAAGAATATGAAAATGGATGGCTAAGCACAATTGATAACAGTGCATCTAAATTCCAAAATCAATCTCCACAATAGTCTACATGTTTCCTATGGCCAAAGGGGCCCTTTAGAGTAGTGACAGAAGATCTTCACCCTGAAACCTACAGCATCCCTTTTCAGCAGGAAGTAGCTAAGAGAATACGCCGTCCCCTTTTCCTTATGAATCAGGGTGAAATCTCTCTCAGGCAGGAGTGATAGGGAATAGCAAAGGACACACTGACAAAGGAGATTAATTAGAACTGGTTTTGACAAGCACTGTGGCAATGGGTCAATTAAAACAGACTTTCAAGAAAAAAAAAAGAGAGGAACCAACTGGGGGGTGTGTAGAGAAAACAGTGCAACAATGAATGAATGAAAATCCAAAATCTTTGTAAATGTTCATTAAAATTAATAAAATAATTTTTTAAAAGAGTCCTTGGGAAAGTACATCAAGGTTCAAAAGTAGAGGGTGAGTGAAGACTCTCAAGAGAAGATCCTCAAAGGGTGGCTTGACCCAGAGATTGCAAGGATGGCACAGGACTGGGCAGGGTTTTGTTCTGCTGAACATGGGGTCACTATGAATCAGATTCAGCTCAACATCTAACATCATAACCACCAAGAAAAGAAGAAACCAAGAGAGAAGTAGGTAAATTTTCTAAGTTCATGATTCTTAAACTTGGTATTATCTCTATACCTTTCCTCTAATTCAACCCAAATGCACTTCCGTAGTCTTATTCTGACTCGTGATGACCATCCGTCTGTTTCCAAGGCTGCAAGTCCCCTCAGCCTTGTATCCATACTCCCAGAGCTTTTGGGCTATTAGTACTAGACACTTAAAAACTCCTCCTGATATTCATTCATTGTTGTACAATTACCTACATTCCCTACCCCCCAAGTCCTCTTTACCATGATATATCTCTTATTTTGGGCTGTTGTTATATGTATAATGCCTAATCATATATTAATTTTAGACAGTTCTTTCTTTCATCTGTTCCAAAGCAATGATCTTATCTATCCACTCTTATCCTATCAAAAATGAATTAATGTTTTGTTTTTTTAAAAAGTGAACTGGGGAGGGGGAAGGGAAGGTGAGGGAATAAAATGTGCAACAATTCATGAATGAAAATCTAACTTCTCTGTAAATGTTCATTAAAATCACAGTTAATTTGCTTCCATTATGCTAAGAAAAACAAAACAAAACAAAACTCTTCCTACTCCCCAATTCCAAAACTGCTTCTACAATTCTGTTATCTTGAGACAATTCTTGATATCTGTTATAGCAGCATCCAACTTACAGCACCAAATTTTGGAGGAGACAATTAAACCCATACCACATAGTAAAGGTCTCAACTGAGCACTCTTGTGCAAGATTTGGAATGTTGTTTTCTGGTAAAAAGTGATGGAAGCCAAAGGTTGCAGTGTTAGCAGTTAACATAATTTACTGCATTTTGTATAAAAGAAGTCATGTTAAGTGAGTCAGGTTTTTCTGCTTCCTTTTTTTCTCTATCACCAAAATCTGACATTCTCTCTTTGGGTGATTTATGTAGTGAGATGCTCTTTTTTCTTAAAATATCTTTTCAGAAACTGGCCACCTGGAACACTGATGCCAGAAGCCAGCAGAATTACTGATAAAGATAGAAGATAAAGTGGAGAAAATAATTGTCCTTAAAGTTATTTCAGTCCTTCAGAGTGA